TACATATTAATGGGTGGTTCCTTTTACATATGAATAAGCCATGACTCATTCTCCCCAAAAAATATGTCTGCGTGTCGCTAGAGTGTTCGGGTTTCGCTTGAAGTAAAGGTGGCAACCCTACTCACCTCTCCTCCGCTCCCTCCTCCATGCTGTGCTCTGCTCACCCCCCCCTCCTCCCCTCCCTCCTCCATGCTGTGCTCTGCTCACCCCTTGCCTCCTCTCCTCCCGTCTCCGCTCCTCCCATCTCCGCTCATCCCGTCTCCGCTCATCCCGTCTCCGCTCCTCCCGTCTCCGCTCCTCCCGTCTCCTCCCTTCCCGTCTCCTCCCTTCCCGTCTCCTCTCTTCCCGTCTCCTCTCCTCCCGTCTCCTCTCCAGGCGGCCACTTTGGTAATTCCACTAATGCCCCGGTAACTGGATCTAAATTCCCGGAACTGCCGGGTCATCTCCGGCAAGTTCCCAGCTGTGGTCCCTAAACATGGCTTCAACGCTTTACCTGAGGATGTGTCTGAACAGATTGAACATGGTATCTGGTTATTAATTGGCCGTCTACCATCCTGGGACCCAACATCCTGGAATACCAATGTTAGGGCGGAATGGGCAACCTTGGCACTCAAGCTGTTGTGAAATTCCAAGTCCCATGACTCAGACAAGTCTCCTCCCTTCCCGTCTCCTCCCTTCCCGTCTCCTCTCTTCCCGTCTCCTCTCCTCCCGTCTCCTCTCCAGGTGGCCACTTTAGTAATTCCACTAATGCCCCGGTAACTGGATCTAAATTCCCGGAACTGCCGGGTCATCTCCGGCAAGTTCCCAGCTGTGGTCCCTAAACATGGCTTCAACGCTTTACCTGAGGATGTGTCTGAACAGATTGAACATGGTATCTGGTTATTAATTGGCCGTCTACCATCCTGGGACCCAACATCCTGGAATACCAATGTTAGGGCGGAATGGGCAACCTTGGCACTCAAGCTGTTGTGAAATTCCAAGTCCCATGACTCAGACAACTACAGGCATGACTCCCAGAGGCAGAGGCATGTTGGGATTTGTGGTTTCACCACAGCTGGAGTGCTGAGGTTGCCTACTTTGGGGCCTTTGCATAAATCTGGTGTCGGAAGGAAAAATGTGTGTGTGGGCACCAGACCTTCTCTGTGGAGTATAAGCAACTCAGCTGACAAGTCACATGGACGTGGCTCTCGCTGAGCTCAAGAAATGGCAAAAGCCTGTCCACCCTTTGGCCTTGCTGATGCTCTGGCTGGCTCTGGGCGTCATTGGGCAGGCAGGGAAACCCCAATGTTCCTGGTTTTGTTGGGACCTGCTCTCTGTTAACTTTTAAAGAGTCACCACTATCACCAAAGCCCAACTCCAGTCAAAGCTTGCATTTTGAATTTTGGAGAAACCGAGGAAAGAACTGGGTCAAGCTTAGACCTTCTGCCAACTTCTCATTAATATCCGTGACTCATTCTCCCTCCAATGGGGGAGTAATGCAGATAGCTGCTATCCCATTTTCCCGAGGCCAACTGGTTGCTTAGACCTTTGAAAGTGTTCACAGGTTTCCATAACTATGTGTAGAGCTTCAGGAACTCCGCAGAGCTGGTCAACCATTGAGGTCAGCGGAGGGCATTACTGGTGAAGGAGGTTTTTGGATTGTTTTGGCCAGCAGAGGAAATCCATTTTATCTCATGGGAAAGCTTGCCTCCTCCGTGTGAAGGTTCTGATGAGTCTCCAGATATTCTTCAGTAGGGAAGTGTTCGCTGCCTTCGGAGCAGGAATATGGCTTCTCATCCACGTGGACCCTAGCATGATCAACGAGGTAGGACATTCTGCAGAAAGACTTCCCGCACTCTGCGCAAGAGAAGGGCCGCTCAGCCTTGTGAACCTTCCGGTGTTCTTTGAGTTGAGACTCCTTTAGAAAGCACATCTCGCACTCCAAACACGCGTACGTCTCCAAGCCTTCGTGAACCATCAGGTGGTTCTTCAGTTCCGACTTCCGCATAAAGCTTCTTTCGCACTGCGGGCAGGTGAAGCTTCCGCGTTTGTGAATCTTGCGGTGCTTAGTCAGGGCAGACTTCTGGTTAAAGGTCTTCCCGCAGTCCGGGCACGGGAAGGGCCGCTCGCCCGTGTGAACCCTCTGGTGTTCCGTCAGGTGAGACCTCTTTAGAAAGCATTTCTCGCACTCCGAGCATGCGTACGTCTTCAAGCCTGTGTGAACCTTCAGGTGGTTCTTCAAGTCCGATCTTTGGGGGAAGATTTTACCGCACTGTGGGCAGATAAAGATTTCGCCCTTGTGAGTCTGGCGGTGCTTAGTCAGGGAGGACTTCTGGTTGAAGCACTTCCCGCAGTCGGGGCAGAGAAACGGCTTCTCTCCGGTGTGAATTAAGATGTGCGCACTAAGGTGAGACTTGCGCAAAAAGCGTTTCCCGCATTCCGGACAAGGGAGGCCTTCGCCCGCGTGGTGCCTCTGATGTTTAATGATGTAATCTTTAGTGACAAAAGATTTCCCACATTCGAGGCACTGATATGGCTTCTTGGCCGAGTGGGCCGCCTGGTGGTGAGAATAAGTAGAGACCTTCGGTTTCTGTTGCTTGTGAATTAACTGATGTTGCGTGAGTTGAGACTGATGCGGAAAACTTTCTCCACACTCCACACAAAGTAACAGCTTGCTGTCCGCGAGAAACGTGTGCAGCAGGTTCCTATGTTCCACAAGACCCGACCGGCGTAGAAAGCGCTTGCCGCAGTCCAGGCACCCAAACGGGCGCTCGTCTGAGTGAATCCTTTTGTGCTCCTTCAGGTGAGCTCGACGCATGAAGCGTTTTCCGCACTTGGAGCAACGAAACGGCTTCTCTACCGCGTGAGATCTACAGTGTCTCGAAAAGGATCCTTTATTGTCAAAAAGTTTCCCACACTCGGGACAAGGAAAGTCTTCAGCACCTGTATGTTCTTCATCAAAGATCTCAGCATCTAATCGCCCGGAGAAATGTTCCTCAGGGTTAGAAGGATCTGGCGACCAATCCACACTCTGAAGGCCAGATGTGCTATGAGCAGATTCCTCAGGGTTGCAAGGATCGAATGACCTGTCCGACCCGTGGACTTCTCCGTAGGCACTTGAGGTAACAATATGGGATTCGCTGATAGAAGAATCCTCACTATGATAATATGGATCGTCGTTTGGCAGCATTACATTTACCACCGGACAGGTCGGCACGATGTCCTCCTCTCGGGATGCGCTCGTGAAATTCTGCCCGTTCACTGGGAATAAGATGGATGTCACAATTTAACACGGACGAAATTCATTTTGGTTCTTATTACAACAAGGAAAAAGATTGCAACACCACAAAATATCTACAAAGTGATGGTTTCTTCAAAATATATGATGGCGCCTTAATAAGCCAGTAAGGGTCGCATATATCTAAGGTGGAAAGCACACCCCCAGCCATTGTGACACGTTGTAGCACAATACCAACCTATAGCCATTGTACCTATAACTAGGGAGCCGTGTCCTCTATCCAAGAACATACAGACTGAAGGGGCCCAGCACAGGGGGCGATATACTCAACACATGTATAATTATGGCCCCTATGTATATGCACCTGTCTATAATAATATCAAACCTTTCTTCAGGCTCCTTTCTTTCCTACCTCTACATTCTAGGATTATTCTCCGGACTTGGCTTTGTAATTCGGGGTTTTTGGATCTCAAGTTCGATTTAATTGAATTCAGGAAGCAGCTGGTTCAGGATAGCGGCAATTGGGAACCTTGAAAGAGCCAAGGAACGCAAGCGTCCATTGAAAAGAACGGAAACACCTTCATAAATCTGGTCCCCAACTATCATTTTTCAAGATACCCTGTCCCCTACAATAGGTCCACCCCCAATGAAGTTCAGGCCACAACACACTGTTCCATTCACCATGACCCACCACTGTTCCTGTCATCATGACCCACCACTGTTTCAGTCATCATGACCAAACACTGTTCCATCATCATGACCAAACACTGTTCCAGTCTAAATTACCACCACTGTTACAATCTTAATGATCCACCACTGCTCCTGTCATCATGATCCACCAGTGTTCCAATCTTAATGGCCCACCATTGTTCCAGTCATTGTGACCCACCACTGTTCCAATCTTAATGGCCCACCACTGTTCTATCATCATGACCAAACACTGTTCCATCATCATGACCAAACACTGTTCCAGTCATCATGACCCACCACTGTTCCAGTCATCATGACCCACCACTGTTCCATCATCATGCCCCGCCACTGTTCTAGTCTACATGACCCACCACTGTTCCAGTCTACATGACCAAACACTGTTCCATCATCATGACCAAACACTGTTCCATCATCATGACCCACCACTGTTCCTGTCACCAGGACCCACCACTGTTCCAGTCATCATGACCCACCACTGTCCCAATCAAAAGTGACAGCTCCAACATAGAACGAGAAGATACATGTAGACAATAGAAAGTTCTAGAAAGACACTGCAGGACAGCAGAGCCAAGTCTGTTGAAAATCAGGCCTTCATAAACCCAAGCGCCACACGAGAGCCAAGATGGCCTGTTAACTAGAAGTTTTTTGAAACTTTCCTTTATGGCAGTAGCGAGGTCAGCCAGTGAACACCATGTCGGCCAGTTCTGTTTTTCACCCGGTACTGACTGTTCTGTTATCAGACTGTAACCAGGGTAGTTGCGCTAGGATATATTTACAGAAATTAACCAGCAGCAGCAATATCTATCAACGTGATCAAGTGTAAGCCGGGGTGCTGCGCTTGGTTGTGTGTGATCCACCTTTTAATTGGTCTTTAAGTTGTGTGGAAATGTGAAAGTATCACAAACTAAATACAGTGCCAGTTATGAGACCACTGCAGTGGTGATTCAGGCACAAAGCAAAAGAAGTAAAAAAAACAAAAACATTCTGACCACAAAGATAACACCGGGCCTGACTTAGTATTGTTGAGTCTCAGGTGAGAAGAACCATGTGAATAGAAGAGAAAGGGGCAGGACAGGCAAAGAGCAGCAGAGCACAAACAGGAAGACCAAGAAGTATCAAAGACGTAGATCAGAGAAGAACCGGAGCCCATCAATGTTTGTGTAGCACTCTCAGCCATCAGATATATATAGAGTGGGCACAGATTTGTATATACGCACCACAGCAATGGTATTAGAATGTCATGAAGGATATTGGGAAAGGTGACATGATATAGACAACACACAAAGGCTCTGATAGTCTTTTCTGATAAAAGTATATATCACTCACCTGTGTTGACCTCTGAAGGATCTTCCTCCTCCTTACATCGCTCATCATCCCACGTATACATCTCCTCCTCATCTTTAACTTCAACTTTAATTCTAATCTGGTCTTCATCCTAAAAAAACACAAGAACAACCAAATTAAAATCCCAAAATATAAATTAAACAGAAGTCTCTTAGTATAAAAAGTTCCCCACAGCTTCTCTACAGATCATACAGCCTAGAGACATGTTGGCATATGGTGAAGACTCGGTTCCTCCTACCTGATCATGGTGGGGGACGGTGTGATGTTCCTGGGTGGGATCCCGGGAAAACAGAGGACGGGGACATCTCTCTGGTGGGTTCCTCTTACTGGATCCATCTGTAGGAAACACACACACTGACTGAATACATTGTTTCTATGTGTGTATCAGATGATGGGGGATCTAGGTGGACCCTCCGTACTGCTCTCTCCTCTTACCCGGTGATGTGAGGGGCGGCTCACTCTCCATCACGACGTCCTTGTAGAGATCCCGGTGTCCTTCTAGATACTCCCACTCCTCCATGGAGAAATAGACAGAGATATCCTGACACCTTATAGGAACCTGACACACACAATGATACAGTCACCATCCAGACACACCCCTTGTCTGTTCCTGGATCATGTCCCAGAATTCCCGGCACCGCTCACCTCTCCTTTCAGCAGACCAATGATCTTCTGGGTGACTTCTAAAATCTTTTGCCTATTTCTCTCAGGTGTCAGGAAGGAAGGTTGAGGCAGCTTGATGGTCACATGGTCACCAGATTTCATAAGGGGAAAACTCTGCATTGAAAGAGCAAGGGTGATGTCATGTAACTCTCCCAGAATCCTCCTCACCTCTCCGGTCAGGCCTGCGTTTTATTAATGGGGAAAAGAGTGATGTCATGTGACCCTCCCAGAATCCTATTCACTTCTCCGGTCAGGTTTGTGATGGATTAACAGATAGTGTAGTCATGTGACCCTCCCGGAATCATCCTCCCCTTTCCATCAGGTCCATGTTTTATTAACAGGGAAATGTGTGATGTCATGTGACCCGCCTAGAATCCTCCTCACCTCTCCGGTCAGAAGGCAGATGATCTCAAGGGTGAGGTCTAATATCCTCTCAGTTATGCAACTCCGATCCTCTTCCATCATGTCGCTAGAATTCTGTCCTCTGCAGATGGATAGAAGTAGGGATTAGGCAAGATCAGACATCGTTACATGAATGATATGGGGGGAATTTGTTGATATTTGGGGTTGTATGACATCATATTTGGACAGTATCGGATTCTATTACGGTAATATTGGAGAACGTTGAACACTTGGTGAGAGTGACTTTAGGATAGACATCTCAGAACTTTTTGGATGAGGTGGGATGGGGTAAGTTCTGAATCTCGCAACTCTACCCAAACTCCACCATGGTGATGATCTCATTTACATAACTAGGCTTCAATAACATTCACAGGTCAACACATAACAGTCCCGCCAGATGGAAAGATCTCTAAACCCAACAATTTCCATTAGGGGAATATTGAAGAGTGTTGGACATTTGGCTAGAGGGACCTTAGGATGGACATCTGAGAACATTATGGATGCCTTTTGCCAGTGATGTGGGATGGGGTAAGTTCAGAATTTAATAAATATTAGATGCCAACTCTACCCAAACTCCACCATGGTGATGAGGTCGATTACACGAGTAGGTGTGTTAATAACATTCACGTAAATGTCCCACCAGATCCAAAGATCTCTAAACCCAACAATTTCCAGGGAATTTTTGCACAAATTGGCCCAATAAAGGATCGGGTAACATAAAATATCTCCTCTGCCATGCAGTACTTGTCTCATGAAAACATCTGGGAATCTTAGTCGGAGACTTTAAATTAGTTGTTTGATTCTTCAGTGTCCTGGTCCTTCAAGAAGAGCAACATGAACAAGACAAGATAGTGTTCCCATATTATAAACCTAAACTACAGTTCAAGCTGTAGAAGGAACATCATTCCATGATTACCTGCTGCCAGCAACTTCAATGTCAGCTTTCTACTTCCTCTCATGTCACCTCTTAACCCGGAACTTCCTGTTTCCATTAACCACCACTTCCTGTTTATAGGCTCTCCACTTCCTGTCTGTGCCTAGATGGGCTACAACAAAATGGCAGATGCTCTTCAACATTTCACATTACTAGATAGATGTTATAGTTCCCAGATGTGCCTGATTTCTTTCACCCAGATTTCTCTCTGAAGACTGTTTTAATATGTTACCAAACAATGCAAAATGTGTTCAACCCCCACCCCCCCCTATACAGATGATGCATTGAACCCCTGAAAATATAGCCAAGACTTTGAAACATATGCAACACTTTTAAAGCCTTTATCAATACTATACCGTATCTATGGATAAACAGTGTTGTCACCCTGGGACGGGACTACATAAAGGCTCCCCTCTCCTCATCTTCATGACATAGAGGAATGTGGTTCCCTAGTCCCCAGAGATAGCTGGACACATCATCAATACTCATCAAAGGATTAACAGGGAGTGATAGCCCTAGAGTTGCTTCTCTCACACTGACGTATGCTAACAAGCTCCCTATGTGATAGCATAGATTCAGTGACAGGTCCTCTTAAAGGATACAGTCCGTGTACCCATCGCACTCAGAACTGCTGCTCCATCAGATAAGAGTTGGGTGCAACAGGTGGCTTCCGTCAAAGTTTACAAGTGAAAAGATGGACACTCTAGATAGGCAGAGCCAGCTGTCAGTCACGCAGCTGGGCAGATCCCGGCACAATTGTCGGGATCCGCTTCAGCTGCGGCGTCTCAGTATACCGCGGTATACTGCGGCGTCTCAGTATACCGTGAGCTACAGCTCGCGGTATACTGAGCCTAGGGTGACGGGAGGACGCTAGTTTGTGTCCTCCTGTTACCCTAAGGAGAACTATGGGGAAAAGCCTTTACCCCATAGTTCTCCTTTCAGAGGTGTGTAAATTTTAGGCCCTGCACCATGTATAATGTTTACCATTTCATGAGTGATTGACAGTCATCACATACTATAATGAAGAGCCCCTGGTCAATTCTTGAAGCCCAGGTCAATCACTTGGACATCAGCTGGACACCTAGGTCATTTCTATGGACAGCAATGAGTCACCCATGTCAATTCTACAACAGTGAGGAGCCCAAGTCAATTCCCACGACAGCAAAGAGAAGCCCAGGTCATTTCCTGTGACAGCAATGAGGAACTCATATTTATTCTATTCTTTATACATGGGATGGCAATGAGAAGCTCATGTCAATTCCTAGGACAGCAATGAGCAACCGAGGTCAATCCTTGGGACAGCAATGAGGAACCAAGGTCAATTCCTAGGACAGCAATGAGGAGCCGAGGTCAATTCCTAGGATAACAATGAGGAACCAAGGTCAATTCCTAGGATAACAATGAGGAACCAAGGTCAATTCCTAGGACAGCAATGAGGAACCGAGGTAAATCCTTGGGACAGCAATGAGGAACCGAGGTCAATTCCTAGGACAGCAATGAGGAACCGAGGTCAATCCTTGGGACAGCAATGAGGAACCAAGGTCAATTCCTAAGACAGCAATGAGGAACCAAGGTCAATTCCCAGGACAGCAATAAGACGTTCAGGTCAATTCCCGGGAATGCAATGAAGCAATCAGGTCATTGCCTAGGTTAGCAATGAGGAAATGAATCAGGGAGAATGAGGCTATGACTCCAATGTGACAAAATCATCTGCCATTAAAGTGGACCTGTACTCAAAAGCTGACAAAAAAACACCATATTATGGGATTGATAAATTGTAAGGGGCGTGTCACATGACTCCACCCCATCTCGTTTGAGCAGTCGGCTTAAAGCTGCTGCTCACTAATTGTTCAGCGTCCACTGTTGCAGCAGGACGCTGATCAATCAGTTGTCCTCCCATGCCTCCAAGCCGGACCTACTACCTCAGGACACAGCACCTCCGTATGAGTCTCCCTGCTCAGATAGAGACTCCACAAAACCGCAAGTACTTGGACTAGTACCCACGTGAGATCTGGGAACTAATGCAGGTCTACTCCATTGATTGTGCTTACTGTTCTAATTGCCATATAACCCCGCTTGATATTAGCTGTTGTGCTGAACTTCATGGACTTTGCATGTTACTCACTGCGGGTGCTAATTGCCGTTAACCCCGCTTAATAATAGGTGTGATGCTGAAGGTCAGTAACACTGACTAGCTTTCTAAATTAGCTTCCCTCTCTACCGACTCCAGTCATTACCATAGCCTCTTCGATAACCTCCTAGTTGCCTGGGTTTCCCATATCTACTACATACGGGGTATGATGTGAAGCAGCTCCCTCTCAGCCTATACAAATACAGGGCACCAGAGGCACAGCTGATCCCCATCCTTCCACCTGGAAGGTATACTCCGCAGTTGAGATCCATATGCATACCCCTATAGCAGATTAAGGGCTGAAATGTCTTTCCAGGAGACCACGCTTCTCCAGTCTTCCTGTGACGTAAAGCAAAAACCCCAAAAAATCCAAAACAAAACAATTTTTAGGAGCTCAGACTCCACAAGAAGGGGAAATATCTTACAATATCTTATAGGTGGGGGGGAGGGGGACACTTCTAGGACCCCGTGCAAGAAACAAGCCAGCGCCACTGGCCCCCAAACCCTATATCCCTTAATCAACCTCCCATAAACCTTGTAATTCCCCCCCTGCACATAACACCCCATAACCTCCTACTGCACCTAATACCCCCAACCCTCAAAGCCCCTGGCACAAACCTAACCCTAGACTCCTGTAACTAGATCAATAGTTTCATGTGAACAAAGCTCTGCCCACCCAGACCTGATTGCCAGCGCAGTATCCTCAAGGTACGGGGACATTTACCCAGAATGAACAGCGGTCAGCTCTCTGACAAGCAGTTGTGAACGGGGGAACCTTCTCTACTTACGACTTCGGTCTGTGCTGGAATACGGCCACCATGCATAGCAGCACTGTCAGGAAGCCAGAGCCCGGATTCTTACTCCGCGGTTTGTGCATGCGCTTGTTCCAGCCCATAGAGCTGTATCAGCTGCAGCGCCTCTGCGTGAACGTGCGCACGAAGATGCATATTCGTGCGCGTGCCGATGTATTGTTTAAGTGTTTGGCACCAGTGGCGTCACAAGGGGGGTGCGGCCCGCACCCGGGTGACACCATTGGAGGGGTGACACCAAAATGACTTAGTTCCTTGCTTGCTTGTTCCTTGCGTTTGTTCCTGCCCCATCCTCTGGTACTGTGTTGCCCGCATGTTGACGACCTCGGCCTCCTCCTCTCTATCTGCCGGCGTCCATCACCAATCAGAATACTGCCGCGCGTGCGCAATGACGTCATTGCGCACACGCGTGGTGACGTCACGCGCATGCGCGGTGACGTCTCGGCAGGGTGACACTCGGACACCGCTCCGGGTGTCACCCAGCCTCTGGACGCCCGTTTGGCACCCTCTGGGCTATAAAGGTTGTGACTACCAAACCTTCTTTTGCTGTCAGATTTGTCAGCTTCCCTGTGTTCCTGCACCCTATTCCTAAGTGGTCAATCCGTTATTGACCCGGCTTGGCTTGACCCTTCTGCTTCTCTCCTGTGCTTCGACCCTCGGCTTGTTCCTGACGGTTTTTCCTGCCCCATCCTCCGGTACTGCGTTGACGACCTCGGCCTGTCCCGACGATTCTGCTTAATCCCTTGCCTGCTCGGACCTGCACCCATCTTTGCATCTCCTGCTAGGCGGATCTGTCTTCCACAGGCACTCCTGCCCCTCTGTGCCCTGGTGCTCCTGTGCCAAATCCAGGCGCCCCAGGATCAGTTGTGAGAGAGGCCGCCCTCGACACTTCAGACTCCCCTAAGGTACGTGACACCCACATTTATGTCGCTGAAATGACCTACCGTAGTAAATACCAGTTGGGTTTTGGTTCCAGTTAGACAGAGTCAGTATTCTGCACCGGGGATGGGCCGCTCAAGGTGCTCATGAATCTTTTTTATGGTGGGTACAAATATCCTTTTATCACACACAACTCAAATCCTTGATCGAGACCCTATGTGAAAGGTCCAACCCCTACAATGGGATCTTATTTCCAACTACAACAATATTTTTGTCTCGATGCTACCCAACGTACATCATACATACATATAGGATGGAAATATTCCTATTCAACCTGAATGAACAATGAAAAAAGGATGCTTGTATCATTCCTGTATTGATGGCTTAAAGGAGAACTCTGGGGTCAGGGCTTTTCCCCATAGTTCTCCTCAGGGTCACGGGACGACATAAACTAGCGTCCTCCCGTCACCCAAAGCTCAGTATACCGCGATCTACAGCTCGCGGTATACTGAGACCACCGCAGCCGGAACGGATCCCGACATTGCTGTCTGGATCCACCCAGCTGCGTGATTGACAGCTGGCTCTGCCTATCTAGAGGCAGAGCCAGCTGTACCCGCCCCCTCCCCCGTCCGTTCCGCCAGTCAGCGCTGGAGGATCAGACAGGGGTGGGTGGAATCCAGTCACGGCTCTCTGCAGGCACTGGATCGAGAAGTGAGCGAGTGACGTTATGTGTTCTCTCACTTCCCGATCTATTGAGCCGACGTGTGACAGTTCCATTGTCACAGGTCGGCTAGAACTATGAGGATAAGTGATTTTCACTCGCCTCATAATTCTCCTTTAAGCAAACCTAGTAGTGGAGATATATCGTAAGAAAACAAGAGGCAAAACACATTCATTTATTTTGTAACAAAGCATCTTTTACACTTGTAGTCCTATATAAATATGCTATATGTACAATACACACAATAATGTTCTTTGTCCTTATCTCCCGAATATTCAGTAACGGGATGGCGTTTATAAAAGCCAAACGCAGCCTTGCTGTTATAGTGTTGGCATAGAAATCTAAAGAAAGTAAAAGTGGGAGGAGTGATGACATGTTGTAGCTGTGTAGGTGGAAGGTCATTATTCATAACACCCTCCTAATATTCTCTATGTCCTCAGAGGTTTACTCCAATTACAGTGTATAGGTGTCGTCGATGTATCTGCACCTTATTTGCTTATAGATGAGCTGCCCTTGCAATATTAAAGGAGAACTATGGGGTCAGGGCTTTTCCCCATAGTTCTCCTAAGGGTCACGGGAGAACACTAACTAGCGTTCGCCCATGACCCAAAGCTCAGTATACCGCGAGATACAGCTCGCGGTATACTGAGACGCCGCAGCCGGAACGGATCCCCACATCGCTGTTGAGATCCACCCAGCTGCATGATTGACAGCTGGCTCTGCCTATCTGTACCCTCCCCCGTCCGTTCCGCCAGTCAGCGCGTGAGGATCGGACAGGGGAGGGGGGGAATTCCTGCAGGGAGCAGCGAGTGACAGTCACGGCTCTCTGCAGGGATAGATCGAGAAGTGAGCGAGCGGCGGTATGTGTTCGCTCACTTCCCGATCTACTGAGCCGACCTGTGACAGTTTCATTGTCACAGGTCGGCTCAGATTTTGAGGCTGAGTGAAAATCACTCCCCTCATAGTTCTGATTAAAGTGTCGTCGATGTATCTGAAAATTGTTTGTAACTAAATGAGCTGCCTTTACAGTATTGTTAGGATTTTCTGGTTGCTCTTCTGATGTGGGTTGAAAGTTTATTTAACCATTGAAGATTATAAAATGTCTCACTCGATGGCCTTTAGATGGAACGTACTCTAGATCCTTGGTTCTCAACTGGTGGGTCGCAACCCCGTGTGCAGAGAGTCGCCCCGTGCCTTTCACTTTTCTAGGTGAGAGGTTCTTCAGCCTCCCCCTAGCGCAGCACTGTCAGTTCTCGCACCGAGCAGCCATTCAGAATATGCTGCCCAGCGCCAAGTGACAGCTTGAGGTGGGCTGGGCTGGGGGTATGACCGTGAGGGAGCTCCATTCATACATGCATTGCTTACAGCTTTCCCATGTGTCCTGCTTTGCTTACAGCTTCCTCGTGGGAGCCAGAATGTGATGTCACTCCGGTCCAGGCACCTCTACTGGACATACAAGGGAGATGTACAAGCAATGCAGATATGGATGGAGCTCCATCACAGCAGAGCAGCCCACACTGGACCCCAGGCTGAGGATCCACTCCAATTCTCGTAAGTTAGGGAGACTGGGTGGATCTTTAAAAAAAGGAAAGAAAATGTTTTTGGAGTGTGTGAGATTGTGTCTGTGGTTGTGTGTGTCTGTCAGTGTTTTTGAGGACCCGTTCACACCAGTACAGTGCGTTAATCGCACAGTCCTGTGCGATTAACGCACTGTACCGTGAAATTGCACCTACCGTGCATTCTGGTGTGGGAGGTGCGTTGCGTTGTCATTCATTTGAATGGTACCCCAAACGCACCTCCCACCCTCAGTTCGTACATCCACATCGGAACGCACGGTACCCTAATGCAGTGCGTTACGTTGCAGTGCGACTTGGGTCGCGACTTAATGACCGAGGACACATGTGGGTCCTGAGGTTACACAGGTTGAGAACCAGTGATCTAGATGAAGATAGGGCCTTTGAGATCTCCAGTGTCCCAAAATAATTTTAGCATCAGGAAAGTCCAGTGGGTTCTTCTGCATGACGTCTTTGGTGGGCCAGAAGATCGGATTTCTGGGTGAAATACTGGCCGCACTGAGAACAAGGAAATGGCTCCTCCCCTCGGTGAATGCTCTGGTGTATCACAAAGGCCTTATTGGTGAAATGCTTCCCACACTCTGAACAGATTTTATCTCGGTGAGTCCGATGGTGACGGATCAGGTTGGACTTATGGTTGTAACTTTTATCGCACTCGAGACATCGGAAAGGCTTTTCTCCCGTGTGAGTTCTTTGATGGTCAATCAGACTCGACTTACGTGAGAATTTTTTTCCGCAGTCCGGACATGTAAGAGGCTTCTCGCCGGTGTGGAGCATCTGATGGCGAAGAAGATGGGGCTTCTGGCTGAAACATTTGCCGCAATCCGAGCACGAGAACGGCTTTTCTCCCTTGTGGACCTTCTGGTGTTTGGCCAGGACCGACTGATAGGTGAAACACTTCCCACACTCCGGACAACGAAAAGGTTTTTCTCCAGTGTGAACTCTCTCGTGCTTGATAAACTCTGATCGTCTGAAAAAACATTTCCCACAGTCACGACATTTAAAGGGTTTTTTGGCTGCTGTAACGGGCGTCTCATCCTCCATGACGACGTCCTTGTAGAGATCCCGGTGTCCTTCTAGATACTCCCACTCCTCCATGGAGAAATAGACGGAGACATCCTGACACCTTATAGGAACCTGACACACACAATGATACAGTCACCATCCAGACACACCCCTTGCCCAATAATGTTTTACAATTCTCGGCACCGCTCACCTCTCCTGTCAACAGCTCAGTGATCTTGTTGGTGACTTCTAGAATCTTCCTCTTGTTCCTCACAGGTGTCAAAGAGGAAGGTGAAGACACCTTGATGGTCACATGGTCACCAGATTTATTAAGGGGAAAACTCTGCATTGAAAAAAGAAACACTGATATCATATGACAATCCCGGAATCCTCCTCACCTCTCCGATCATCTTTGTGTTTTATTATAAGAGATAAGAATGATGTCATGTGACCTCCCAGAATCCTCCTCACCTCTCTGGTCAGGTCTGTGTTTTATTATGAGATAAGAATGTCATGTAACCTCCCAGAATCCTCTTCACCTCTCCGGTCAGGTCTGTGTTTTATTATAAAAGATAAGAATGATGTCATGTGACCTCCCAGAATCCTCCTCACCTCTCCGGTCAGGTCTGTGTATTATGAATAGAGATAAGAGTGATGTCATGTGACCTCCTAGAATCCTCCTCACCTCTCCAGTCAGCAGGCAGATGATTTCTAGAGTGAGGTCCAGTATCCTCTTAGTCATGTGACTCCGATCCTCTTCCATCATGTCGCTAGAATTCTGTCCTCTGCAGATGGATAGAAGTAGGGATTAGGCAAGATCAGACATCGTTACATGAATGATATGGGGGGAATTTGTTGATATTTGGGGTTGTATGACATCATATTTGGACAGTATCGGATTCTATTAAGGTAAAATTGGGGAACGTTGGACATTTGGAGAGAGGGACCTTAGGATGGACATCTGAGGGCTTTATGGATGCCGATGGCCAGTGATGTGGGATGGGTTTAGTTCTGAATCTCATAATTATTAGATGTCAACTCTACCCAAATTCCACCATCGTGAGGATCTTGTTTACACGAGTAGGTGTGTTAATAACATTCACGTAAATGTCCCACCAGATCCAAAGATCTCTAAACCCAACAATCTCAAGGGAATTTTTGCACAAATTGAATCAATAAAGTATCGGGTAACATAAAATATCTCCTCTGCCATGCAGAAGTTGTCTCATAAAAACATCTGGGAATCTTAGTCGGAGATTTAAAATTAGTTTTTTGATTCTTCACTTTCCTGATCCTTCAAGAAGAGCAACATGAACATCACCAGATAGTGTTCCCGTATTATAAACTATAACTACAGTACAAGCTGTAGAAGGAACATCAGTCTATGATTACCTGCTGCCAGCAACTTCAATGTCCGCTTTCTACTTCCTCTCATGTCACCTCTTAACCCGGAACTTCCTGTTCCACTAACTACCACTTCCTGTTTATAGGCTCTCCACTTCCTGTCTGTGACTAGATGGGCTACAACAAAATGGCAGATGCTCTTCAACATTTCACATTACTAGATCTGCCATTTAGGCTGCATTAACACTGCCACGCAGAGCTGCTGAGTGTGTTCCCAGGCACAGTGCTGATGCATCAATCCCGTCATATCGCACTTTTTTTTTTGTTAGAACTTTGTTGAAACAATTTACATTTCATTAAGTTCTATAGGCAAAGTAGAGCATCCATCAGAGTGCCCCCTTACATCAGGTGTCCCCATCAGAGTGCCCCCTTACATCAGGTATCCCCACGAGAGGCCCTCATTACATCAGGTGTCCCCACGCGAGTGCCCCTTACATCAGGTGTCTCCATCAGAGGGCCCCCTTACATCAGGTATCCCCACCAGAGGGCCCCCTTACATTAGGTGTCCCCATCAGAGTGTCCCCTTACATTAGGTGTCCCATTCAGAGTGTCCCCTTACATCAGGTATCCCCACGAGAGGGCCCCCTTAGATTAGGTGTCCCCATCAGAGAGCCCCTTACTTAGTTGTCCAATCAGAGGGTCCCCTTACATTAGGTGTCCCATCAGAGAGCCCCCTTACATTAGGTGTCCCATCAGAGAGCCCCTTACATTATATGTCCCATCAGAGAGCGCCCTTACATTATATGTCCCATCAGAGAGCGCCCTTACATTATATGTCCCATCAGAGAGCGCCCTTACATTATATGTCCCATCAGAGAGCGCCCTTACATTATATGTCCCATCAGAGAGCGCCCTTACATTATATGTCCCATCAGAGAGCGCCCTTACATTATATGTCCCATCAGAGAGCGCCCTTACATTATATGTCCCATCAGAGAGCGCCCTTACATTATATGTCCCATCAGAGAGCGCCCTTACATTATATGTCCCATCAGAGAGCGCCCTTACATTATATGTCCCATCAGAGAGCGCCCTTACATTATATGTCCCATCAGAGAGCGCCCTTACATTATATGTCCCATCAGAGAGCGCCCTTACATTATATGTCCCATCAGAGAGCGCCCTTACATTATATGTCCCATCAGAGAGCGCCCTTACATTATATGTCCCATCAGAGAGCGCCCTTACATTATATGTCCCATCAGAGAGCGCCCTTACATTATATGTCCCATCAGAGAGCGCCCTTACATTATATGTCCCATCAGAGAGCGCCCTTACATTATATGTCCCATCAGAGAGCGCCCTTACATTATATGTCCCATCAGAGAGCGCCCTTACATTATATGTCCCATCAGAGAGCGCCCTTACATTATATGTCCCATCAGAGAGCGCCCTTACATTATATGTCCCATCAGAGAGCGCCCTTACATTATATGTCCCATCAGAGAGCGCCCTTACATTATATGTCCCATCAGAGAGCGCCCTTACATTATATGTCCCATCAGAGAGCGCCCTTACATTATATGTCCCATCAGAGAGCGCCCTTACATTATATGTCCCATCAGAGAGCGCCCTTACATTATATGTCCCATCAGAGAGCGCCCTTACATTATATGTCCCATCAGAGAGCGCCCTTACATTATATGTCCCATCAGAGAGCGCCCTTACATTATATGTCCCATCAGAGAGCGCCCTTACATTATATGTCCCATCAGAGTGCCCCTTACATTAGATGTCCCATCAGAGAGCCCCCCACATTAGGTGTCCCATCAGAGTGCCCCCTTAAATGATGTGTCCCATCAGAGAGCCCCCTTACATTATATGTCCCATCAGAGTGCCCCTTACATTAGATGTAATCAGAGAGCCCCCTTACATTATATGTCCCATCAGAGAGCCCCCTTACTTAGTTGTCCCCATCAGGGAGCCCCTTACATTAGGTGCCCCCACCCCCCATCAGAGAGCCCCCTTACATAAGGTGTCCCATCAGAGATTGCCCTTACATTAGATGCCCCCATCAGAGAGCCCCCTACATTAGGTGTGTCCCATCAGAGATTCCCCTTACATTAGGTGTCCCATCAGAGATTCCCCTTACATTAGGTGTCCCATCAGAGATTCCCCTTACATTAGGTGTCCCATCAGAGATTCCCCTTACATTAGGTGTCCCATCAGAGATTCCCCTTACATTAGGTGTCCCATCAGAGATTCCCCTTACATTAGGTGTCCCATCAGAGATTCCCCTTACATTAGGTGTCCCATCAGAGATTCCCCTTACATTAGGTGTCCCATCAGAGATTCCCCTTACATTAGGTGTCCCATCAGAGATTCCCCTTACATTAGGTGTCCCATCAGAGATTCCCCTTACATTAGGTGTCCCATCAGAGATTCCCCTTACATTAGGTGTCCCATCAGAGATTCCCCTTACATTAGGTGTCCCATCAGAGATTCCCCTTACATTAGGTGTCCCATCAGAGATTCCCCTTACATTAGGTGTCCCATCAGAGATTCCCCTTACATTAGGTGTCCCATCAGAGAGCCCCTTACATTAGATGCCCCCATCAGAGATTCCCCTTACATTAGGTGTCCCATCAGAGAGCCCCTTACATTAGATGCCCCCATCAGAGATTCCCCTTACATTAGATGCCCCCATCAGAGAGCCCCTTACATTAGATGCCCCCATCAGAGAGCCCCTTACATTAGATGCCCCCATCAGAGTGCCCCCTTACATTAGGTGTCCGATCAGAGATTCCCCTTACATTATGTGTCCCATCAGAGATTCCCCTTACATTAGATGCCCCCATCAGGGAGCCCCTTACATTAGATGCCCCCATCAGAGAGCCCCTTACATTAGATGCCCCCATCAGAGTGCCCCCTTACATTAGGTGTCCGATCAGAGATTCCCCTTACATTATGTGTCCCATCAGAGATTCCCCTTACATTAGATGCCCCCATCAGGGAGCCCCTTACATTAGATGCCCCCATCAGAGAGCCCCCATACATTAGATGCCCCCATCAGAGTGCTCCCTTTACATTAGTTGCCCCCTTCATAGCGCCCTCTTACTGTGCAGTAATGCAGTGACCAAATATAGCAGTAATCCTACAACAGTCTACCACCGAGGGGACGTTTGGATTGTGGAAAAGGGATGCTCTTTGGGGTCTGGTCCAGTCACCAATGCAACTTCTATGACCCCCTTTCCCATGCCACCGAGTCTACTGTATCAGACCATTTACATGGAAGACCACTATGTGTTTTCACAGCTCTTCCCGTGGAGATCACATTTTAGAACTGGACATTAAACCTCTCGTCTTCCAACTATAAGAGGAAACCTCGTGTCTTTAGCGGAGACATTATTGCAGCTGAACTGATGTTACCTACTGTAGCAAAAAAAACCATTCGGCTTCAGTTCCAAGGGGATGGAGGTGGAAATAAGTCAGTTTTAGCCTAAATTTTATTACGTACCAATGATGTCTACATTCCACGGCGATGGGTCGCTCAACGTGTTCATGAATTATTTTTATGGTGAGTAGAAATATCCTCAAAATCCTGGATCTGGATCCAGCCATCCAGTAGCATATACACTGAGTGGCCAGATTATTATATACACTGAGTGGCCGGATTATTATATACACCGAGTGGCCGGATTATTATATACACCGAGTGGCCGGATTATTATATACACCGAGTGGCCGGATTATTATATACACCGAGTGGCCGGATTATTATATACACCGAGTGGCCAGATTATTATGACCACCTGACGTTTGTAGGCAAATTAGCTATAATTTGGCGCTGAAGTTGCTAGAGGGCCAGACCATTATAAATGGGGAAGCAGGTTGGTTACCACGACAGTAGAAGTGATTGGGAAGATACGGGTAAACAACGCGATTTAACAGCCTTTGAACGCGGGATGATTGTTGGCGCCCGGAGCCATGGAGCGAGTATCAGCAAAACAGCAGAATTCATTAAACGAGCAGCTCATTGTTAAAGTGTTTAAAGACCGGACTGTCAGCCGAAAATCTGGGTCTGAACGTGTGAATTGTGGCCGTCAGCGACTAGTCAATGTTAGGGCAGAACGGGGGAAGGGCAAGACTGGTACAAGACAACAGAAGGGCAACAGTGCCGTGTCAGATTCCTCGCATCACCTTTCATCATCTCGTAGAGTCACGAGGCGGCCCAACGAAGTCATCTCCTGGAGTCATCTCGTGGCCCAACAAAGTCATCTCCTGGAGTCATCTCGTGGCCCAACGAAGTACTGATGGGGTGGTCATAATAATCTGGCCACTCAGTGTATATGTAGCACCACTCTGGCCATCAAAGGCATGTGAGAGACCCCAGAGGCAGATCGGGCTGACATTTCACCTCAGAGTCCTTAGCCGGTGGTGGGATGTGAATTTAAAGTTGGGTGCCAGTCACTTTCAGAGTCTTCAAAGATGTTTTTCCTCTGACAGGTCACACGGGAGAGATGGAAAAGGGCTACAAACACCGAGGATAGTACAGACTCCGGATTCAACGATCACATTCCAGCTTCTCAGTGCAGAGGGCCTTTAAACTGATTGCGGTAACCCTGTGCATTGTAGAACTTTAGCTGGTTAGCAAGCATAGCACAGAACTCCCTGCGTTAGCAAGCCTGAGGTCCAAGCCCAATCCTGGCTTCTCCGCTCATAAGGTTCCTCCCTGGTTCTCCATCCCAAGCACAGCTTCCTCCCTTCACTGCCAGGACAGCTGCAGACCCCCGACTGGCTCTCCATTCCTGACCACCGGCAGGCTGCAGGCCTGGTCAGACAGCTCATCACTTCACATATCCTCCCCCAGGCAGGAGGCCCAGGGGGGAAGAGAGATTCTCACATGGTCAGCCCCGAATATTTATGTACCACTGGCCATGCACGTCCTAGTGATTGGCTAGGGAGACGCACATATTCATAACTCACGATTATTGGCTGCAAGGTCACACCTAAAAGCAGGCAGATACCGCCGATAACAGAGAGTTTAGGGAAAGCCAAATGAGCACAGAGCTATTAAATCGGCATAGACTGGATACAGTCCATTGGAAATAAATTCAAGGAGTCACCTTGCTTGGGGCAAGGCGGCTACACATACAACATGCATATATGGTGTAGGTAATGGTGTAAAAAGACCAAATTCATTCTAAAGGGATTGAAATTTATTGTCAGGAACCGGGTCTGAACCCAGAGCCTCTGCTGTAGCTGGCGGTGGTTCTACCTGCTGAGCCACCTAAGAACCTTGGATAGCTCCTTGCCTGATCTCATGTTTAATCCTCAGTTATACCTGATCAGATGCTGAACTCTGACCTCCTTGCTCCTCCCTTGAACTTCCTATTTATCCCACGCCTCTGCACTTCCTCTTCGCAAGATTATTGTGCTCCTGCCTTGATCTTGCTTCCTGCTCCCTCTGTGCTACAATCTACTCATACTGCTTCCCGTGTACCGACCTTTGGCTGCTGATTCACCGACTACTCTCTCCGTCTCCTGCTACGTACCCGATACCTTTGGCTCCTGACCTCGGCTTGTTCGCTGACTACGCTTCTGCCTGCTCCTCCACCACTACCGTCTGCTTGTGTACTAAACCCGGCCTGTTATACTACGAATTGCCTGCTGCTTCAGCTGCTGGACTCTGAGCCTGATCCCAGATCGTGACATTCATAATTATATATTGAATTATATTCATCGTAAATAACCAGTAAAAACATTTTTATATCATTGCTGATTATAAGTCCCTACTCATATGCAAAAGTAGCGAGTATCGGGCTGGGATTTATAATAGTAAAACATATTATTTATTTATTTTTACACGGCTCTTTGTACACTTGTAGTGCTATATACATATTCTATATATACAGTACATACATTAATATGATAATTTCCCTCCAGATAGTCAGGAACAGGATGGAGTTTATAACCGCTGAATGCAGTCTTCCTGTTACAGCATTGGCATAAATATATTTAACAAAGGTGTGATATGTATATAGTGCGTGCAATGATGACATCCTGTAGCTGTGTAGGTGAAAGGTCTTTATTCAAAACACACTCAGTTATATTCTCCGCGTCCTCAGAGGTTTACCTCACATACAGCTTAAAAAAGTGTCGTCAACGTATCTGCACTTTACCTGCTAATTGATTAGCTGCCTTTACAGTATTTTCAAGAGTTCCATTTCACTGGTCGGAATTTGTTTTCACCGTTGACAATGATAAAATGCCTCACTGAATGAGGTTTCGGTGAAAATTGTTCCCTAGCTGAAGATAGGGCCACCGAAACCTACAGCTTCCAAAATGTCCAAAGCAGTTCAAAAATATTTTTAGCATCAGGAAAGTCCAGTGCATTCTGCGTGAAGTCTTTGGTGGGTCAGAAGTTCGGATTTCTGGGTAAAACACTGGCTACACTGATAACAAGGAAATGTCTCCTCCCCTCGGTGAATGCTCTGGTGTATCACAAAGGCCTTATGGCTGAAATATTTTCCGCACTCTGAGCAGATGACAACCTTTTCGTCTCGGTGAATCCTTTTGTGACGGATCAGGTTGGACTTCTGGGTGAAACTTTTATCGCACTCAGGGCAAGGGAAAGGCTTTTCTCCCGTGTGAGTTCTTTGATGGTCGATCAGACTCGACTTGCGCGAGAAGCTCTTCCCGCAGTCTGGACACGTAAGAGGCTTCTCGCCGGTGTGGAGCATCTGATGGCGACGAAGATGGGCCTTCTGGCTGAAGCATTTGCCGCAATCCGAGCACGAGAACGGCTTTTCTCCCTTGTGGAGTTTCTGGTGTTTTGCTAGAACCGACTGACTGGTGTAACACTTCCCACACTCCAAACAACAAAAAGGTTTTTCTCCAGTGTGAACTCTCTCGTGCTTGGTGAACTCAGATCGTTTAAGAAAACATTTCCCACAGTCAGGACATTTATAGGTTTTTTTGACTGTCTGGACAATCTGGTGGACATGTTGACCATTTTTAGAAGATTCCTCTAGATTGGAAGGATCTGGTGATCTCTGCACATTGTGACGTTCTGGGCAGATATTGTGGGCAAGAGTATTTTCTCCAGGGCAGTCTCTTATGATGTCCTTACCTTCTGTGCTACAATCTCCACATTTCCTCGGGATCCCGTTGGGGTTATCTTTGCCTGCCAAAAATAAAATATATCTTGCGAATAATGGGATTTTTGTAACTCCATTGATGGACATGGGAATTCAGTGACTGATGGGTTATATTGCTGCCTACAGGAGGATTAGACAGCGGAGGGGCGGGCAACAGCAACAAAGCACTAACAGGCATACACAAAAGAACAACAGAATTGTCACCTGCCTACAGCTCAAAGAGCTACCTAAAGAACCTTAAGCCCGAAGCTGGCATCAGATGAGGCCTGAACATCTACCTGAGTGATCCAGGAGACCATAAGCTTAGAGGATGGTCTGTCTGAGCCACTGGTAAAACAATGTGATGCCTGCGGCCTATGGGTAAGGGGCTGTGTCCGTCAGCCCCTTACCCCTCCCTCCTCCCGCATGCTGGCCTTTCACAGGGGTGCAGCAGTCCTCACTCCTCCCATGTGTCAGTTTTAAAAGTACTCCGTTTTCCCGCAATCATTATCGCTTTGAGGCTTGACAAAGAGGCTGTGCCCCGAAACGCGTAGCCGTTATCGCACTGAGAGCCCTCACCCTTGCATAGCTCTCCACCACTTCTGACTGTTGTGTCCGCATTTGACCTCCCGAACCCCCGGGATACCAGTCAGACGGAAACCTGTGAACACACGGTTCAGCACATCTCAGCCGTTCGCGGCTCCTATCCCTTTCCAACCTGCCGCGGCTCGGCCTGGCCAGCCGAGTACGTGGACAGCTATACTGCTTCACACCGCCCCCAGACCTGTCACTACCTGCCCCAGCAGCCATTCATTTTTGGAGTCAGGCTCCTCCCCAGGCACCTGACATTCAGATGCCATGATATCCTCTGATACACCAGCTGTCTTCCGACTGTAAGTTTATTTGTCCATTTTTTACGCCCTTTTAGACATCACTATTTCCAGCGTAGTAGCGCTCCTACAGCTCGCTTGTTTGTATATGTTCATGTGCAGGGTTCCTCTCCCTGTTATTAGGAGCTCGCACACCGCATATCCTAGTTCACACTGCTTCCTTCAACATAGCGACCACTAATCAGTTGTGCGCTTATACATCGTTCTAGAGTTTATATGGTGCTGGTGTAAGTGTCCAGGAGGCAGGATAGCCGACAGTCACCAAATTCCAGTGTCCCTCAATGGACCGGAAAGAGATACATTTTGGAATCCTTCATTTTCATCCATCAACATCTTTTTTTTTTTTTTTGCCCTGGTGCCCAATTAATCCCACCTTTTACTATCATCACAGGAGCACAGATTTTTTGGGGGGGTCTCAAGGCCATTCTAGCCAACCGGCTCCAGTTCCAGAACATATCTCCTCTTAGGTCTACCCCTGTTTTGGTGTTTCCAATTTACCTGCGTCGGCCTCTGTTGCAATGTCTTCCTCCATCGCCTTCACGGCACTCAGACTCTTCTCCTTTTTCTCAGCACTCTGTTGATCATACAATGGATTTTGCTTCTCTTCAACTTTAATAGCAATCAGACCTTTATCCTAAAAAAACACAATACATTACAGTATAGTATATTTAAAAATCTCCTCTCAGCTATTCTCTACAGATCACACAGCGTGGAGCCACTTTAGTATTTGGTGAGGTTCCTCAGTCCCACCTACTTGACTATGGTGAGGGATGGTGTGATCTTCCTGAGTGGTATTCCGGGAATACAGAGGACGGGCCTGAGGGATCTCATGATGTTCCTGTGTGGAATCCCGGGAATACAGAGGACGGGGACATCTCTCTGGTGGGTTCCTCTTACTGGATCCATCTGTAGGAGACACACACACTGACTGAATACATTGTTTCTATGTGTGTATCAGATGATGGGGGATCTAGGTGGACCCTCCGTACTGCTCTCTCCTCTTACCCGGTGATGTGAGGGGCGACTCATTCTCCATCATGACGTCCTTGTAGAGATCCCGGTGTCCTTCTAGATACTCCCACTCCTCCATGGAGAAATAGACAGAGACATCCTGACACCTTATAGGAACCTGACACACACAATGATACAGTCACCACCCAGACACATCCCTTGTCTGTTCCTGGATCATGTCCCAGAATTCCCGGCACCGCTCACCTCTCCTGTCAGCAGCTCAATGATCTTCTGGGTGATCTCCAGAATCTTCTGCTTGTTGTTTCTCTCAGGTGTCAGGGAGTGAGGTGGAAGTACCTTGATGATCTCATCGTCATCAGACATCACTGGCGGATAATTCTGTATAAATACAGAAATTTTTTTATATTATGTGACACTTCCAGAATCCTCCTCACCCTTCCGGTCACCTTTGTGTTTTAATAAAAGAGATAAGAGCGATGGCATGTGACCTTCCAGAATCCTCCTCACCTCTCCACTCAGCAGGTAGATGATCTCCAGGGTGAGGTTGAATAGTGTCTCATGCAGGTGACCCTTGCCATAATCCATCACCGGTGAGGCTGTCATGTGATCTTTGCAGAATTGATACTTTTCAGAAGTTGAGAGGAAGGGAAATAAAGAAATGTTATTGGTTGGTACCGCAGATACTATACAGAGGGGCAACAAGCATAGACATTGTTCCTGTCAGCTTTCAGAAGGAGGAGAGAAGAGAGATACAGACAGAGAAGAGAGAGAGAAATACAGACAACAGAGAAGAGAGATAGGAGAGAGGGAGATAGATACAGACAGAGAAGAGAGAGAGAGAGAGAGAGATACAGACAGAGAAGAGAGAGAGACAGAGAAGAGAGATACAGACAGAGAAGAGAGAGAGAGAGAAGAGAGAGAGAGAGAAGAGAGAGAGAGAGAAGAGAGATAGAGACAGAGAAGAGAGATACAGACAGAGAAGAGAGATACAGACAGAGAAGAGAGATAGACAGAGAAGAGAGATACAGACAGAGAAGAGAGAGAGACAGAGAAGAGAGATAGAGACAGAGAAGAGAGATACAGACAGAGAAGAGAGATAGACAGAGAAGAGAGATACAGACAGAGAAGAGAGAGAGACAGAGAAGAGAGATACAGACAGAGAAGAGAGAGAGACAGAGAAGAGAGATACAGACAGAGAAGAGAGAGAGACAGAGAAGAGAGATACAGACAGAGAAGAGAGAGAGACAGAGAAGAGAGATACAGACAGAGAAGAGAGAGAGAGAGAGAGAAGAGAGATACAGACAGAGAAGTGAGAGAGAGAGAGAGAGAGAGAGAGAGAGAAGAGAGATACAGACAGAGAAGAGAGAGAGAGAGAGAGAGAGAAGAGAGAGAGAGAAGAGAGATAGACAGAGAAGAGAGATACAGACAGAGAAGAGAGAGAGAGAGAAGAGAGAGAGAGAAGAGAGATACAGACAGAGAAGAGAGAAAGAGAGACATAGAGAGAGAGAGATACAGACAGAGAAGAGAGAAAGAGAGACAGAGAGAGAGAGAGATACAGACAGAGAAGAGAGATACAGACAACAGAGAAGAGAGAGAGAGAGAAGAGAGATACAGACAGAGAAGAGAGAGAGAGAGAGAGAGAGAGAGAGAGAGAGAGAGAGAGGAGAGAGAGATACAGACAGAGAAGAGAGAGAGAGAGAGAGAGTAGAGAGAGATACAGACAGAGAAGAGAGATACAGAGAGAGAGAGTGAGAGAGAGAAGAGAGATACAGACAGAGAAGAGAGGGAGATACAGACAGAGAAGAGAGAGAGAAGAGAGAGAGAGAAGAGAGAGAGAGAGAGAGAGAGAAGAGAGATAGAGAGAGAAGAGAGAGAGAGAAGAGAGATAGACAGAGAAGAGAGATACAGAGAGAGAGAGTGAGAGAGAGAGAAGAGAGATAGACAGAGAAGAGAGATACAGAGAGAGAGAGTGAGAGAGAGAAGAGAGAGAGAAGAGAGAGAAGAGAGATACAGACAGAGAAGAGAGAGAGAGAAGAGAGATACAGACAGAGGAGAGAGAAGAGAGATACAGAGAGTGAGAGAGAGACAGAGAAGAGAGAGAGAAGAGAGATACAGAGAGAGAGAGAGTGAGAGAGAGACAGAGAAGAGAGAGAGAAGAGAGATACAGAGAGAGAGAGAGTGAGAGAGAGACAGAGAAGAGAGAGAGAAGAGAGATACAGAGAGAGAGAGAGTGAGAGAGAGACAGAGAAGAGAGAGAGAAGAGAGATACAGAGAGAGAGAGAGTGAGAGAGAGACAGAGAAGAGAGAGAGAAGAGAGATACAGAGAGAGAGAGAGTGAGAGAGAGACAGAGAAGAGAGAGAGAAGAGAGATACAGACAGAGAACAGAGATACAGAGAGAGAGAGTGAGACAGAGAAGAGAGATACAGAGAGAGAGAGAGTGAGAGAGACACAGAGAGAGAGAGAGAGAGAGTGAGAGAGAGAGACAGAGAAGAGAGAGAGAGAGAGAAGAGAGATACAGACAGAGAGAGAGAGAGAGAGTGAGAGAGAGACAGAGAAGAGAGAAGAGAGATACAGACAGAGAACAGAGATACAGAGAGAGAGAGTGAGACAGAGAAGAGAGATAGGAGAGAGAGAGAGAGAAAAGAGAGAGAAGAGAGATACAGACAGAGAAGAGAGATAGGAGAGAGAGAAAAGAGAGAGAGAGAAGAGAGATAGAGAGAGAAAGAGAAAAGAGAGAGAGAGAGAGAGAGAAGAGAGAGAAAGAGAAAAGAGAGAGAGAGAAGAGAGATAGAAGAGGGAGAGAGTCAGAGTCATATTACAGTAGATCAAATGTTATTTATTCCATTGAAATGTTGTAGAACGGTCATATAATAAAATAGTTACCTGCTGCCAGTAACATTGATGTCCTCTTTACTTCCTCCCAGTTCACCTCTCACCCGGAAGCCGATACTGGATAAAACACATGACTTCCTGTCCT